GCTAGCATCGATGAGCTCTGAAGCTCAGCAGGTTTATAATTGTAGTAGAATGGGCCCCAAAACCCCATTCTAATTCACCCTAAACTCTAAACCCCAAAACCCTAAACCCTAAAACCCTAAACCCCAAGACCCTAAACATTAACCCTAAGCCCTCAACCCGAAAATTCCCAAGACCCTATAAAGACCCTAAACCTCAACCCACCTTAAACCCGAATCCCCGAGACCCTAGACCTCAAGCCCCAAGCCCACAGACCCATCCTCACTATTCTACCATAACTATAAATGATAAGGAACCCCCAAAAATATTTAGAATAGCGTTTTGGGGTATATTTTATCATAACCATAATAAGGAAACCACCCAAAAACCACAGACCAATCCTCACGAGAGCAGCGCCGCTCCAGGATTGTCTGATCTCGAAGCGTCCTGGCAGACTCCGCATTCGGGTTTAGGGTTTATAGGGCTTAAGCCATAAAACCTCACGGTTTAGGGTTTAGCTTTTAGGGTTTAAGGCGCCATAAATCCTAAACCCCAAGGTCTTAGGCTTCAAGTTGGCTTCAAGGGATCCAGAATGGCACTCTAAAGGGCACCCACTGTCAGGGATACGGGTTTAGGGAACGGCAAGTCTTGAAACTCATGGATGCCGTAGTTGAGTACCACATTCTGGTGCGAACACGCCAGCAAGGCACGAGCTTCTTGGCGAGCTGCGGCCGCATCTTGCCGGCGAAAATGCTTCGCCGCAACCTCTGTTCCGCCGAGGGCGGCGACCATCACGGTTCCGAAGGACCCCTCACCAAACTGCGCATGCGTCATGGTGAGAGTTGGCGCCGGCAGCTCCAGCAGAGGCGTAAACGCCTTGGCCCAGGCTTCATCAAGAAGTGCAGTTTTGCAAATAGAATGACAGCATCTACTATGTGTTTTTGCGAACGCTTGACCCCCAATGTCATCTCCCCCCATGTAGGCTCTACTTGGATCCTAAAAGAACCAACGATCTTAGGGTTGCTTGTTCACGTTTCCTTAGATAAGTCCCTGGGCGCCTCAACCCTAGACCCTATAAGCCCGAAGGTGCTCTTCAAGAGGGTCTTCAAGGAGGTTTTTGCAGCTCAGAGGTCTAGCTCTACACTTACCAGACACCTCAGCGCAACGCAGAGTTGCAAATAAGGCGAATATATACCCATAGTTATCCGTAAGGGTCCATGTGCCCAAATAGTATATACTTTGGCCCCAAAGTACCCAAATAGGGACTACTTTTGAGGCCAGGATATGTCTGTGTGGCTACATCGACCCTTAGGGTACCCATACAACCTCACTGCAAAACTGTTGCCTGACTCGCCTGGATCCTCCAACTGGAAAAAATTAACGTCAAAACATTGATCCAAAGTATGTAGAGGAATAGCCCTTTAGAGGTGTTGGGCCACTGTCTTTTGCCTACTTTTGGGGGCCTAAGTCAAGTAGATCTTAAACCTTAAAACCCTAAGCCCAAACCCCAGAACCCTAACCCCTCAAACCCCAAGCCCTGAACCCCCTTAAACCCTACACCCTTAAACCCTAAGCCCAACACCCAGAACCCTAAACCCTGAAACCCGAAATCGCAGTTGTCATGGTCTGAGGGAGCCCTTTGCAAACCCGGCCAGGCAGACAGCTCGGCTTGCACCCCTCGGTCTCGAGCCTGTCCCCCAAACAAAAAGAGGGGCCTTAATAAGCATAGGATTTAGGGTTCAGGGGTTTAGAGTTTAGGCCTTAATAAGCATAGCGTCTTGGGCCTGTGCAATAGATGGTATGTAATAGTGGTTTGCTGTGTTTGCGGAAGCCTCGAAAAGAAATGCTGCGAATCGGACATGCTCGCACACTGCATCTTGCTTTGTTTGATAGTGGGAGTTAGGATTAGAGGGGCCCTTGGGAATGCAGACCCTCTCAATAAGGGCCCTTTTAAAGAGAACCACAGGTAGGATTGAGAAGGGCTCCCTTAAATCGGTCTCCCTAATACTACCTAGGACTGATCGACTCTCTCCCCAAGACTCGTCTCTCCGAGGGCTTAGGAGTTTTGGGTTTGTAGCGCATCAGCACCAACCTCTGAAGACCTCAGGGCCGACCGGTAGAGTGTTTGAACGAAGAAAGACCATTGAGCCACAAGGCATCGTAATGCTCATATCTACCTGATTAAAGGGAAGTACTTAGTGTGAGCAAGGAAGGCAGGCAGGGACGAAGGAAGGAAGGAAGGAAGGAAGTAAGGAACGAATGAAAGACACACATACTGGGAGAGACAATGAGTTTCTGCACGGACGAGTGTATGAAACAATGAATGATGCAAGGATGGAGGAAGGATTGACGGAAGTAGAGAACTGTCTGTCTGTATGCGTGACAGCATGCATGTGTACGTATGTATGCACACAGTTTGTGTGCACACATGATAGAAACCGCATGAATTGCGCGCACACACAAACGCACTTTAGCGCTTCTGTATATACATAGATATATATATATATACACACACACGTACATATACCATCATATACCTATAGGTACATATAATGGTACATTGGGAGGAGATACACATGTCTGCAGCCAGAACTACACAAACACGCACAAACACACACACACAGGTACACACGGACAACAGAACCTTGCAAACAAGCAATCATGCATTGCATGCATCCATCCATTCATGCGTCCATCCATCCATACACACGAACTTACTTTGTAACCATTCTATTCAAGTAAAAAAATTTCTTACTTTCGGTCGTTCTTTCGTTCTTTCTTTCTTTACTTATTACTTACTTACTTACTTACTTACTTACTTACTTACTTACTTACTTACTTACTTACTTACTTACTTACTTACTTACTTACCTAGGTAGAGCCCCCGACCCTTGCGAAAAAATTTAAGGGATGGGGCCGTGATGAAGGGAACCAAAGCAAATGCGCAAACTCATAACCTAAACCACAAGCTCCAGCCTGTGCTGGCATCCCAGCCGTTGTCGACGAGGCACGTTCATTCTCATGGAATTAGAGGCATTTGGCAAGATTCTCGTCTTAGTCTTTCCATGTACTCGATATCTCCGCGGAATGAGTCTGGCTTGCCAGAGCTTCTTTTTTCAGGAAAGGAAACAACTTTGTTGCGACTTCGGGTGACACAGCAGCACACTGTGTGGGTACGCACCAAGGCCCCCCAGCAGCAACCTGTACTGTAATTACTTCTTGCTTGTTAGTAGTTTAACTTGAACCTGGGACCTGGGGACCTGGGGACCTGAGGGCCTGAGTGCCGCTACGGACCTGCCGCTCACTTGACAGAGCTGCGAGACCTGGCCAGTGGGCACAGAGTAATGCCAGGCAGACGGTTTAGGGTTCCAGGGCAAGTGGCCTTCGTTCCAAGAAAGCTGCCAGCTTGTCGTTCAGCACGGGCCGGGTGGTTCCAAGCCACTTACCTGGGCGGGCTATTTTCCGTAGCCGAACATGCATGCTGTTTAAAAATGTCAGCCAAGCTGCTTCTCTTCTGGAAAGCAAAATTCCTCGGTTGCTTTGCTTTCACAGTGATTTTGACAGGCATGGGCCACCGAAGTGAATCAGCCAAGCGTCGACAAACATGTCACTGCTTGGCACGCATTCCAAGAGATCATGGCAGGTGTCAGAGTCCGCTGCAGCTTAGCAAGAGCTTTCGTGTCGGCTTTCCGTGCTTTTAAAGCCAAGCGATGCTCTTCCAGGTGGCTCTGAACATTTTCCAGCACTTGGGACACGGACTTCCCGCCAGTCCAAGATTGGAAGACACGAGCATTTGTGCCATTCCAAAAGGCGCCGTGAAGGTCGTCCGGGCCCACCGTCAAGCGTCCGAGCCACTGTAATGTGCCGAGGATATGCAGAGGCATGAGACGAGAGGCCTCGAAGGGGATGTCATCAAGCCTTAGAATCCCATGACACAACCCGCGCATTCTTAGTCTTGCTAATGAGCAGAGAGGGTCTGCCGTGCAGGCCGATGTATGTTGCAGCCGTGGGGCACATCCTGAGAGACCACCCAGGTCTTTGACTGCTGGCCCTGGAAATGCTTCGACAGCCTTCCATCCACGAAGACGGCTGCAAGACCCAAAGCGTCAGCCAGCAAGAACCTGTTCATGTCTTTGTTGTGCTTGATGACAGTCTCTGCCTTCGCCCTTGTACCTTGCTTGACGTTGCGCTTCGACGTTGTCTTGTCTGCCAGGAACCTTTTCCGTGTGTGCACGCCTCCTGTTGCTTTGAAGTACTTGACTATAGTGGCTGCCAAGCAAAGTTTGTGCTCCTTCGATGACCGGGCTTCGCTGAGGAAGAACAGTGCCAACCTGAGTGTCGCTGCTCAATCGTTAACAGAAACGACAATGACAAAGTGCGTTTACTTTTAAATTCAAAGACAAGCCACTCAGTGCTGCGGCAATATGATGCCAGGAAGATGAACCCAAGTTGTTCCCAGCAAGGCAAGCTCTGAAAAGAGGCCGTCCGCTGCAGAGTCTTCAAGTGCCGGCTCACGGGATCGTTGCCTCGGCCGGCTACATTCCCCACATCCTCTGGACCCAAAAATGACTACTCAATCGTGTCACACTCAAAAGTCACACCAACCTGTATCAATCTAGACCTTCGAAGCCAAGACTTGCGGACGAGTCCCTCTAACCCGACGCACCTCAACCTGCAACAATGGACAACAAAACCAAACAGAAGCCCCAAAACCCTCGACCCTTAAAAGAAAGGTGCTCGCAGTCGTTCATCGTTCTCGTAGCAATAAGCACATGAGTTTCAGCAAGTGGACATAACAGCAATAGTCTTTAAACACAAACCCTAAACTCCGCAGTAGCAGCAGTAGCAGTAGCAGTCGTCGTCGTCGTCGTCGTCGTCGTAACAGCAATGGTAGTACCAAACTACGACTGATGGATGAGTCGTCGTATTGCAACAGTCATAGGTGCATGCTATGGGCTCCTCACGGTGCTTCTATGATGCGATGTAATGTGGTTTGCCGCTTGGCTTCTTCAGCGATTCTGAAGCTGATGTATACGCCAGAAAAACTGTTTCAATACTACATCCCTAAACCCTATTTAAACCTTATCAAATCCTAAACCAGGAGTCTATAGGGTTTTGGGGTTTCTGGGCTTTACTGGTGCATGTTCTGAAGTTCCAGGCCTTGCGGGGTACAGCTACATCAACATTGCAGAGCGAAGCCGTTTCGAGTGGAGGACCTGGGGGCCTGGGGACCCGTCTTATAGTGCAGTCAAAGCACTATCCTTGGCTACCGCGCGCGTAAAAGAGCCACGAAATGTGTGGATGACAGTCCAGCCAGGGCTGAAGAGCGGGTTGGCAAACATCAAGATCTTGTAAACCGAGGTGTCAACTTTCACCTCCAGCACATGCAGTCACGAAAGACAGGGCAAGAGCACATGCTTCGACGGATCCCGTCTCCAGTGCTTTTGCGAGTTGCTTTGGGATTCGCGGCACTGCTTCGGTACAGGAGGTAGGCAGCCAAGAATGCCTGGGGCAAATAGCCGGGTTTAGGGTTTAGGCTTTAGGTGTCAGGTTTCGCACCAAGCACCGTCGGCACATCATCCTGCAGGTCGCGGAACAGAAAGGCTGCCAGGCTGATCAGCTGCACCCCGGCCAGACAAAGTTTCACGACCTTCCCAGACAGCGAAAGCTTCGGGATAGGATACCCGACTACGACCACTCCTGAAATTATATGCAACTCTCAAAGCTAGTTGCATATTAATTATAAAATTACTATTTGTGTCCATTATTATATGCAACTCTCAGAGCTACTTGCATATTATTTATTATTTGTGTCCGGTTCCCCGGCGACCGCCAGCTTGCAGAGAGCCTACTCTGAATGTGCCCGCCACTTCCTCAAATGAATGTAACTTCACAACATGTGAGTCTGAGCACAAGAGTTTGAGGCATTGCCTGCATGGTCTGCCTGCAAATGGCCGGCCACGTGTGCGGCTGGCAGGCGTGCTTCTGGACGACAAGCCTCCTGCCATGGTGCTTGCTCGAGAAAGAAAGTTACTCGACAAACGGTCGACTGGAACATTACCTAGTGACCTATAGTCTTAATGAGATTGCCCGTCATTATTCCGCCCACATGCTGCCAGTTAAATGGTTCACCACGGAAATCAGGCCGAGCAACGAAAGACATTCTTCCGCTGAAAGCGTTTGCCGGCCCGGCGGCATGCCTGTCAAGTTTCCGGATCACAGTTTGACCAAACTGCAAACATTGGTGACAGCGCCGTTCAGCCAGCGTCATTATTTTGTCTCACTCCGCCTCACACGCCTGGCCCTTTGGACCTTGGGACCTGGGTCAACTCTCTGGACCCCATTCCAAGAGAGCGACAACATGAACTTCGGCTTTCAGTCGATTCGTAGAATTGCACTAACTTATTAGGGTTTAGAGTCTATAACTTCGGGCTTCGAACCAGAATCTAATCATACCAACATATAGACCACGTGAGCCCAGACATTCAGAAACGATTTCAACGGCAGTTGCTAGGCCGGGACGTCCCACCCAGATGCCAAAAACGAACACAGTTCTGTATTTTCCGAAAACAGACTTCATGTCCAACAGCGACGACAGCTTCGAAGAAGATTGCCTGTGCGAGAACCTTCGCTTCACGAACCCCAGGGTCCCAGTAGCGATTTCGAAGTTAAGTTCGAAGCCGAAAGCAGTGCGCCGCGCGATATAATTAAAAGGACGTGTCGGGAGCCCTCAAGACTCGTCTGAGGCTGCGACCGCATGTATTATAAATGAGAGTGCGAATGAACATGTTCCGTGGGCCTGGGGGCACGCTGAAACTGCCTTGAGCACACGGTTCACACAAAATGAGATAAGACCCTTCATGCAGGCCAAAAGCAACCGATCATATCTAGCAAAAGTCACGTCTTCAATAACTGGAAGCCTTAAGAGCTGCACGCAGGCTGGCCTTCAACCCCCGCTTTCAAATCGGCTATTGATGGCCAGCGGCGATTAGCTGCCTTGGGATTGCAAGCTTTTAGAATGCTTCCCTGCAAATCAGCAGCCAACTGAAGCCGACTGTACAGCTGCTGCACCTTGCTGCTCAATTTGGCTCGTTTGGCCTGCTTGGGATTTGCCAATTGCGACCAATTGGCACACCACACACTCAGTGTTGCTTTGCTGAACCCGTCGGCTTTGCCAACAAGTCCTTCCATGAGAGACTTAGAGGTGGCCACGTAGAAAATGGTGCAGCCAAAACTCCACTGATCCACGGCTGGGGTCAGCAGTCGATGAAGTCTTTGAAGCTCCTTGTTCCCGTCAATGTCAAGTAGCTCCGGGGGTCGAAAAGGATAGGTGACGTACTCGGTGTACCGCAGATCGTTCATGGCCACATCGCGCATTTCGGCCATGCCCATGTCGCAGAGCTTCAGCTGCTGCAGCTGCTCACAGAACAGAATGTTTGCCGGTTTGACATCCAGATGTAGGATGCCTGCTTGGTGCAGCGCCATCAATGCAAACTTCAGCTGGGCAACGATTGCAAAGACTGATGGCCTGGGCAACTTTGGCTTTGTTCTCAAGATGCCACTGAGACAGGGACCGGCATACTCCATGGCAAGCCAGGGGTAGGGCTCCGAGGCTGCGTCGGAAGCATGGAGCACAGGAAAGAAATGTAGGTCCGAGTGGAGAAGGTTTGCAATAAGATGCCGGTATAGCTTTATTTCCTGGGCTGCTTCATCCCCAGCGAAGCGGCCGTAGAACGCTTTCACTGCCAGCTGCCGCCCTGTCTCCAAACATTTGCACTTGTAGACCTTTCCATAAGCACCAGTTCCCAACCGAACTGGGGCTGCTCCACTGGACTCATGTGCCTCCAGGACGTACGGCCCGATGCACGCTGTCTTCGACACTGGAGCCTCCATCACCGGGCCAGGATTCTGCGGATGTTGACCGCCGCAGAAGACGCCGTGTGCTGCCAAGGCATCTCGCTGTCGCACAAACTCTGCATTGCTCTTGTCATAGTAGGGCTGCTTGCTTGCAGCTGGCAGCCGGGACCAAACTTTGCCAAGGCGCTTGAGCTCGTTCTGAAAAGCCCTTTTGGAGCCACCTTTCTCGATTCTGTTGTTCTCCTTCACAAAAAGGGGGAACGCACGGCGTGCAGGAGGAGCAAGTCCTGCCTTCACTGCCGCAGCTCGCGCCTTGGCTGCTTGGGTCCGACGCCCTTTCGTCTTGCAGCGCCTTGCAGCCTTTATGCTCGTCTTGCGAAAAAGCCGATGCGTAGGTGCAGATGTGCACGCAGGCATGCCCTTCATACGTCGTGAACACCTGGAAACCTGGGGACCTGGGGACTCAAGCTGCCTTGCTGCCCTTCTGTGAGCCTCAAACAAAGTCGCATTCAAGACAAGGCTTGGCAAGGCTCACACTCAACAACAAAGGCATGCAAGAGGCAGGTCTCGCGCTTTTTGCTTGGCAGCAGAAACTGTCGCACAAAATCTGCCACCAGGGTTGATCCTAGCCGTTGCAGCATATCGCTGGCCACGGGGCTTCTGGGGACCTGGAGAGCTTGGACCTGTGGACCTGGGGACCTTGAAAAAAAAACTGTACGTCTGGCCTTGTTGCAGCTGCTAAGACTATCGGTCTGACGTCCACTGGTCCAGCATGCCAGGCGGTGCGCTCTACCCCTGACTCGGACTCGCTGGCTCAAGCTCCTCCTCCTGATCATCCTGACCCGCGGGGACCAGGGACTCCAAGATGTTCTTGAAGTGTTTGCGCACACCTTTGGCACCCTCCTCGGAGAAGAGGGTGGACCCAATTCGACTGCGATGAGGCCACAAGCAGCCCTGTCGGCAACAGCTTGTACCCAGGACATGTGATCGCGGTTCAGACCTGCAGCTCACGACTTTCCAACACGCACACAGCACGCATGGAGCTCAAGACGAGTCAAGTAAGGTCAGGACAAAGTCCATGGTAGAGCACACCTGCTCCCAGGCAAGCCTCCATCAAGGCACCAGTGCCCGCGGTGACATCGAAGACAGCCTGGATCTTGTACTCCCTCAGCACCGCCGTGTAGAAGGCAATGGGCTTTGACTCCTGCCAGAAGAGCGGGACGTCGCTGCCATGCACATCTTGCCAGAGCTCAGGCGCATCTGGAACGGCAGACTGCAGGACCTTTGCCTTCTCGTCCTTTGAGATCAAAGGAATCTCTGCCGTGGGGCGAAAGCTGACACCGGAGTAGGTGCCCTGGTAGGTCGATGCCTCACCGCATGCAGTAAAGGCTTCTTTCTTCTCAGCGCGAATCTTGGCCCTCTGAACCGGGAAGCGGATGGTGATGGACTCCAACTTCCTGGCACCGCAAGGCACACGGCGTGTGCGACCAGCCCTGGGAGGACAACCTCCCGAGTAAATGATCGTGGCTTCCTCAGTGTGCTGGACCTTCTCCCAGTGGTTCTCCTTGGTTGGTTCCGTCGAAGTGTGCCCTCCCACTCTACAGCATCAGAGCGAACCTGAGACTATGCGGCTTCCCA